CTTCACCTGCTTAACACAAACACAGAGAGAGAGAGAGAGAGAGAGAATGTGTGTGTGTGTGTGTGTGTGTGTGTGTGTGTGTGTGTGTGTGTGTGTGTGTGTGTGTGTGTGTGTGTGTGTGTGTGTGTGTGTGTGTGTGTGTGTGTGTGTGTGACGGTGTGACGGTGAGTGGGACGGGCAGAGAACCCAACAGTAGAGCGATCGCACGGGGGCGGATTGACTGGATTTTGCTGCTGGTGCCGCTTGCACGTTGATCGCTGGCTGCGTTTTGTGTGATCTTCGGTTTTGGCTTTGCCACTCTATTGTTGTGATTCGGTTGTTGGTAGCTGAAGCCACACCATGGCGCCACCCTGGCATCACGGCGAGCTCACAAAGGAACAAGCCGAAGGTACGGACGGACCAAGTTGCCCCGGGTTGGGCTGCTGCTGTTGCTGCTGTTGCTGCTGTTGCTGCTGCTGCTGCTGCTGTTGTTGTTGCTGTTGCTGTTGTCGTTGTTGCTGCTGCTGCTGCTTCCCCATTCGGTTTGCAAATGGATCCGACCAAGCCCTCACAAACTCGTCTCGTGCTCCAACGTGGCCTGCCAGCACTCTGCTCTCCTTTTGAAACAGGCGCGTGGTTTGTTTATCAGTCGGTCGCCCGCAATCTCCTCGTCCTCTGCTTCAAGTTCAAGGGCAAAGTTACAACCCATGCCCTCGAAAAGGTTTGTCGGCACCTCCATTTTCCTACCTGTTTCCAGCAATAGCCTCAACTAGCGTCCACCTCACTGGTGGCCTCGGACTCTCGACTGCCCGCCCTCACCCTGCACCAGCGTGATGATGTGTGGTGCGTCAACGGCAAGGACTTTGGCATCAAGGCCGAGTCTATGGCCCGCTTGATCCAACGCCTCACCAAGCCGCTGGCGGGCTGGCCCACCCCGCTTTCCATTCCCATCTTCAAGGGTGAGACTTTTCCGCCCGACGACACTCCATTGGAAGACATTCCATACTTCCATGGCGCCCTGCCCAAGGACATTTGTGACGCCTCATTGGCCAAGATGGGCATGAAGGACGGCACTTACATGCTCCGTTTGTACAAGCCCAATGACCCGAGCATCCTAGTCCTGACCGTTGTGTACAAGGGAAAACCCACCCATCACCAGGTGCAGCACGAAGCAACCGTCTGGTCAATCAATCGCAAAGTTCTGCCCGGCTGCACCTCGGTGCGCCGCCTCGTTGCTGCCCTGGCCGTCACACATGCCGACTTTTGGCCCGTGCCTCTCATGCTGCCAGTCATCAACCCACGCTGCGACACTGTCAAGCCACCTACTCAACGCGGCTCTTCTGCTGCTGCATCGCCGTCTCCGACGCCGGATCCCCAAAACACCCCATCAGCAGAGTCGGTGCCATCTTCAGAGATGCCCCAAACAGACACAAGCAACCAATACGGCAACGACGCTTCAGAAGAAGCGCCAACCGAAGCAAAGTCTGTGACCACACCTGAAATAGAGTCCAACATTTCAAGTAAACCTGAACCCCAGCCTGAGCTCCAGCCAGAATCTGAACCCCAGTCCCAGCCAGAACCTGAACCCCAGTCCCAGCCAGAGCCTGAACCCCAGTCCCAGCCAGAACCTGAATCCCAGCCCCAGCCAGAACCTGAACCCCAGTCCCAGCCAGAACCTGAGCCCCAGTCCCAGCCAGAACCTGAACCTGAACTTCAAGCGGATGTTGCAAACAACAACGCGCCCAAAGCAGAGATCAAGGCAACCCCTGACGCCCCTGAAACTCTCCCCGAGGCCGATGCAACAGCGGACACCCACCAGACCAAAGCCGGCACGCAACTGGAGAACCCAGCAAATGCCAAGGGGCTGGTTGACGAAAGCATTTATGGCACAGTGGACGAAGCCGAGGCCCTGATTAAGACGCGTCTTCAGGACCGCGTCAAAGCAATCAACACCACTCGGGAGCCTGATGAGTGGGTAACCCCAGAAGTGGAAATTCGCCAGGGTTTGGTTGGCCAGTCTATCAAGGCGCTTCTGCCCTCAGACGATGCCCAGGTGCCCTCCGTTGAGATTGTCCTGCCCCATCCCGACTTTGACGAGCACGAGCTCACCGTGGAGCCCAGCATGACCCTCTACTATCATGGTGATATCACGCCCGCGCAAGCCGAGGCTGCCCTTAATGCAGCCAAAGACGGGCAATATTTGCTGCGAGCCCACGAGGCCAGCCGTCATGCCTTTGCCGTGATTCTGTCTCATGTGCACAATGGTAGCATTCTTCATACACCTCTGACCCAAAGCGACCTGAATGGCAGTTTCAAGATTGGACAGGTCGCTACTGGTGAGCGCAACCTCAATGACGCCTTGCGCTTTCTCCACGCACAGCAACCAGGTATGTTGCATTTGTTTCCTGCCCAAACCTGGTCTGCCTGTATCCGAGCAGACCACACCTGAGAGGCCTGCGCCGCACGGTGTTTTTCTTTTTTTCCATGCAACAACTGCATGGGCCGACCATGATAGGCTGGCCGCATCCCCTAACGGAAGGCATCCAGGGCATCAAAGTCCTCTCGGCGGCGGAGAAGAGCAAAATGCGCCAGGCCAATAACCAAGCCATTGAGGAAGCTGCCCAACGCCAGCAGGCCTTGGTCGAGGAAGCCAAACGTGAACAGGCCAGAGCACGGGGATCACACCGTGCTGCCACCACCAAAGCCGAAGTCAATCTGGAGGCTCAGCGCCAACGAGCCATGGAAGAAGAGATGCAATCGCTGCGTGCTGCTCAGCTGGAAGAACGTCGAGCGCAGATGCGCGAGCAGATTCGCCAAAAGCTCGTGGCCGAACGCAAAGCGCAGGCTTTGAAGGATCTCCGCGAACAACGTCGCCAAGAAGCCGAAGCTGCCCTTGCCGTAAGATTATCAAGCCATCTGCTCACTAACATGTAAACATTTGCCGCTGCCGGTGCTCACCTTGGTATGCCCCACTGACTGATTTTCTACACAGGCCGCTCGTGCTTTCAAACCAGAGGTCGAAGTGAATCTCGACTCTGATGATGAAGATGCTGGTGTGCTGGGCCCGGAGGAACTCGATGAATGGCGACGTAATGCTCTCAAAAGTTTGTTTGACCGCGCCGCACACGCACGCGGGAGATCTTTGTCTTTGGGACCCGGTAGCTCATCGCTCTGTCATTGAACTTTAAAACATTCATAGATGCCGAGAGTGGTGGCCCAGAGCTCATGGAGAGTATCTATGCCGCACCGGATGCGGCGCTGAAGCAAGACGAGACATCTGCCAGTGATATTGCTGGCAATGCGCCGCTATATTCCGATTTTTCCACAACCATGTCACGCACACCCAGTACAACCGCTCTTCGCAACGACCCCGAGTTGCCCAACCCCTATGGCGTGGCGACCAACGCCATTGCCGAGGAGCCTGATGCTATTGCCGCTAGTCACAATGTGGATGAGGGTGGCGCATATGGTGAAGCTGTGGATCGCTCAGCAGGCCCGTCTACAGGCGTGGAATCCAACACGTACGAAGTGCCTGCTGAGGCAAAAGAAGAGGCAACCACGTCCGCCTCACCGAGCCAAGCCGCGGCTCAGGCTCAAGCAGCACCTGCCGCAGCGGCAGCACCGGAATCTGCCCGCGATGAGACACCTTCCTCGCCTCCTGCCAAGTCCAAAGGCGGGCCCGATGACAAGAAGAAGGGTTGCCTCGTCATGTAGGACCTCTTTTCCAGGCGGTGTGAGAAGTAGGAGGGGTTGACGCAGTGTTCGTGATTGTTTGGTTTTCAATTTGTCTTCTTCTTAGCCAAGCGTGTCACAATCGAAAGAAATGGAACTTCTTTTAGATGTCAGTTGTTCTTGGAGCAAACCTCCTGCTTTAGACGACCACGGGGTCCGCTTGCTCCAGCAGCGCAAACACAGTCGTGGCATTCACTGCATAGTGTGGGTTGGGTGCAGGAAACTGGGCCGCGTAATACCAGTGGTCGCTTTTATCCGCAATGACTGTAGTATCATCGCGGAGCAGCTCCTTGGGGCCACAGCATCGACTCGTTTCATACCAGACAGTGTCTGCACTGACGGTTGCCAGACGCTCAATCAGAGTCAACGCAAGTGCTTGCAAGTCCGCGTCCAAGCGGTTGTCCAAATACTGCACCGCCGCTCGGCAGAGCAGCCGTGTGTCAGCCACCGAAGGCGTTAGATTGTTCCACATGTCCGCAAAGACTCCCAAAATTTTGGCCACCAGTCGGTGGCGTGGTCCATTCAGGCTACAAGCCACAAGGAAGGACATAAAATGAGGTAACAAAATACAAACACAAGCAGACAAAGAAACATCGACGGCGCTTCAGGTGCCATGCTAGCAGAACGCCTAGGCACATGGCTGCGAAAGGTGAGGTGGCCCAAAACTCACCGATTGGCAAAGTCGGAAGGCTCGGCCAACAAGGCGCCATGCTGCTCGCGTAGTTGCTGCAATAAGATTGGAGCCAATTCACTGCTCATAAACGGCATTGTGAGTGAATGTGGATGAATACCACTCATGACCAGTCGCAACTATTAGCAAGCACGGTCAAGAAAGGTACGTACGTTACAAAGCGGCGGCGTAAAAAGGATCCACAGGCCCGGCTCAATGCAGGCAATACGTTGAGTGCGGCGAGCGCCACAAACGGCTTGCTAACACGCAAACACGGAAGCTATGGCACAATTTTTTTCAGCAGCATCACCAAGTAAGCTGCCCAATCACGGAGCACATGGTTGGATGTTTCAAGCTTGAAAGGCATTAGCGTACCAGAATGGGCCAGATTTGGGCCACGATGGGCAAGAGCTCATTCTCAAAAGGTGCCAACACGCCGACCCCGGCTGTCAGGGCTTGAAGCAGAATCAGGCGCTCTTGGTCATTGCTGTTGCCGAGCAGGTGCTTGATGCGGCGCAAGGCCTAGATCGAGGTCAACATTTCCAGAGCCGCGGCGTAATGAGCATGGCCAAATATTTGAGGCTTTGACACCAAGACCCCTCCAAAAAAAACATACTTCCACCACGAGCATGGCATGGGGAGGTGGGGGTGGGTCTTGTGCGTGGGCGTCATTGGGATCTGGGGCATCGATGGTAGGCTCAGCAGTGCGCAAGCCATCAACGCCAACATGAAGCGAGTCTTGGGGCAGTCGCGGGCTCCACCGCTCGACGGCCACCAGAACGCTAAAAAAAAAAAAAAAAAAAGGTGGCCAAAATAAGCAAGTCGCAGCCCCTTGCAGTCGTAGGCCCAAACATGCAGACATGTATGATTGCTGTTTGAAAGTAAGGGCATGGAAATGGTGCTTGGCAGCGAGTTTGGCACAAATACGAAATGAACCACAGAGATACATGATATGCGTACTTGCGCAGAATCAGCAGGAATTGGGTTTGCAAATGGGGATGGTAGCCATCGAGGGCACCAAAGACGTCTTGCATCATGTCCTTCACGGGAAGCAACAACTCGGGCGGACTGTATTCAAGCATGCGCTGCAAGCCAAATGCGGCTTGTTCATCAACGTTCATATACCTTTTTGAAGTAGGGGACGATGAGGTGGAGCGCAAAAAAAATAAAAAAAATAAAAAGAGGAAAGGAAAGAGGCAGACATTGGTGCAGACGAACCGGATGCGTAGCGTAATGTCATTGATAAGGTAATCAACGTTGTCACTGAGGAGCGCCGCGGCGTCCGTGTAACCACAGGCATGGGCCACTTGCACCATGGCCCACTGGGCGCTGCCGAACCAGAGCCAGACATGAATAGAATGAGCCCCGACGATTGCAGCGGTGTGGACATGGCGTGCCCAGCACGAGCTTTCACACCTGCTATTGACGGCTGTTTCGGGTAGTCCCGTGTGCAACAAAAGCATGAACATCAAGTGCATAAGACGCTCCCGCAGTGCCCGCTGAAGAACCTGAGATCGTGCCGAGAGGAAAGTGAGGCCGGTCTGTGATTGCATCTGCCACCGCCTCGTAAATTGGATGGGTGGTACACCCTACCTGGGCAGCTTGACCCACAGTCTCGAGCAAGAGGCACGTAAAGACGGTGACGCGAGCAACGCGATGGGCTGTTGAAGGAGCATCTTTTGCATTGTTTGAGTGGGCAGGGGTCACAGGCTGCAGGGCTTTTCCCGAGGCCCAGGAACGGGCTGCATCGAGGAGGTCACCATCCGTGCACATTGCCAACGCGAGATCCGCCAGGCTGCGCTGCTGTGGCATGAAACCTGTGCCAGCATCAGAATTTCGACTAGATGTAGAAGGGGGGCGGCTCGCCGTCAGATGTTTCCAGCTCTGAGCAACGCTGCCTTGCCACGGGCTGCTTTTAGGCGCACTTGGCAAGTTGGATTGCCCGGGAATGTCCGTAGACGGCGAGTGTGCTGCAGCAAAGGAGTCTGTATCAGGTGTTGAGAGAGCGCCTTGCACCAGGAGAAGCCACTCGGGTCGCTCGTGCAAGATGACCCGTTCAGCGTCCAGGGCATCCTCCAGGTGCAGTCCAAGCCCGCGAGCCATGCCCAGGCGCAGGAATTCGTCCATGAGGTCAGCGGTGGTGGTCAGATGAAATTGACGATACACGCGGCGCATGCGCTGAGCCGTGCCGAGGACGTCATCCACGACCACGTGCTCCTGATCGGGAGCAGCATGCTGATTGACAATTGCGAGGCATTGATCCACATCAAGGCGAAGGGCAGCAACGCAAGCGCGCAAAACGCGACCGGCGGTGTCCGCATCGGCAAAGACGGGGGTTGTGGCGGGCAGTATGCGCAAATAGGCGTTGAGGCGTCTAAGGTGGCGCTGAAAGGCATCTTCGGTCCAGGCTTGATGCTGTAGAACAAGCTGGTGGAGTCGCTCACGCAGTAGCGCCGTAATAACGCTCGTGAGCCGGTTGGTGTGCAGAGCAGCCAAGCAAGTCTGGGCCAGCGAGGCAATGGTCTGAGCATCGTCGCTGCTCAGCAGCACAAGGGTATCAATCCAGGACGGCACACAAGCTGGTAGGGCGCGCGCGCAGCGCAGCGCAGCTAGGCAGCAACAGCGCGCGGTGGCCTCTCGTACCGAGGCCGCCTGATGCAGGACCACAGTATGAAAGAGTTGTTGATTCAGATGTTCGACCATGGGCACCGTGCGGCCCCACCAAGCGGCGTCGGGTGTTTGCCGCAGAGAATAGGGCTGGTCAGCAGACGAGGTCTCTGAGGCGACCACGGGGTCGTCTGACAGTTGGTCTGACGAGTCCGTCGAACGGTCGGCGGTGTCGCGCACCGTCTCGGCGAGCTCACGCAAGTCATCAAGGGGGCTGGTATCCGGGGGCAAGTTGTTGTCAGCCACGGCGTGGCAAAGGATGGCAGTGAGAAGCCGCAGACCGACGACGGCCACAGGAGCCGCGCCGTGCACGATGCGACGCAGGACCTTGGTCACAAGCGAGAGCAGTCCGGGCACCATGAAGGTGGCTACACCGGTATCACGGCGCGCAGCGCCTTCATAGAGGTGTAGCAGCAGCTCGCCGGCAGCAGCGCGAACAGCAGAGCTTCGTTGGGTATTTTCAAGCACGGTGCCCAGTTCGGCAACAAGTTGACCTAGGGCGGGCAAGTACTGATCGCTGCAGAGCGGGGCCATTATATCGGACCTTGAAAAGACCAAGGCCTCGGTGGCCTGAACAATGGCCAGGGCCACATCGTCGGCGATGGACACGGCAACACCGCGGCCAGCTAGCACGAGCCCGAGAATTTGAAAATGTTGAAGGGCCAGTGGCAAGGGGATAGCCTGGCCCCCATGGCGGAAAAGAATGCCCAGTGCCTGGAGCGCGGCAATGACGTCTTTCTCCTTGGCCTGCTTGCCGGCAATCACCACGCGCAGCGGCATGCAAATATGCTCAGCCAATGCCGCCAAGGCCGGCGGTGGGATCTACCAGGACACGCATGCCAGACACTGAGGCGAGCGCAACAAGCAACACATGCCCATCACCCACGGCTCGCTCCTGCACCCACGGCACACCGCACACCGCACACCGCAAAGCAAGTCCAAACCTGCAGAATAACCTGCTGCACCTCCTCACAGGCCGCTGCATCCAAGCGCTGCACCAGGCGTTGCACCGCCCCACGCAGCCGATCCAACATCCCCGTCATCGCCATGGGATCCTGTTCCTCGTTGACCGCCTTCCCCGCCTCCTCCCCAGCCGTCCCTCCCCCTCACACACTCCTCACACCACACACCACACACCACACACCTCACGTGCTGCGCGCAGACACAGACCTCCCGCCTCTCTCTCTCATAAAAAAAAAACTTTGTGTGTGTGTGTGTGTGTGTGTGTGTGTGTGTGTGTGTGTGTGTGTGTGTCTTTTTTTTTTTTTTGAGTATTTTTCGTTATTTTTTCGTTATTTTCGAACGAATTTCTTCCTTTTTTTTTTTTTTTTTTTTTTTTTTTTTTTTTTTTTTTTTTCTTGAAACATCAAATCAGTCAGACCTATAGACCTATGGAAGTAGTTGTTACATGTAGTGTCAACCTCTATCATCCATCTGGGGGTATTGAGAGGTTGTGGATTATGGTTAGACAGGTTGGAGCACTCGACCAGTAAAATGGCTGCGCGTCCCGGCTGGGGGTCGCCAACCCAGACTCGGAACTGAATCGCTCCATGTGTTAATTGATTGCTCATTGATTGGAAGGCAAATACATGGTTCGGTTGGATTCAAAGTACGGTGACCGTTGCGCGCTGCTGTAGTTTTACGAGCTTAATACGGCGTCATTGGTTTTCATGACAACGCACTGCGACGCGACGGTATGAAACCGAAGGAGGAACGATCTGTAACTGCCTGTTGTGGCCGCCCCAATTGGGTCTTTCGCTTCGGGAATAATTGGGCGAAGAGCTACTACACGCACGGGCACCAGCATCAACAACTTGCAAAACCGGGGGAGCTGCTCGCTCTTGCAAAGGAGGTTCTCGTGCCGGTGGAGGGCGCTGTCGGTGCCCAGCAAGCACGGTTTTTTTTTGCATTTTACCAGGAAGCGGGCCAGCTCCCTCGTCAGGTCGAGAAAGCTCTTTTGCAAGACCTTGGCAACTACAGGGGCTTTCTGTACCTCCATTGGTCTTCATTTTTTCCGACAGAGAACGCTGCCTGGATGCAAAGCTTCTGGCGGAGGAGCGCAAACCCACTTGGACACTGGCAGAGTTTGCTAATCGCTCGCTCCTCAAGAACGGCGACGAAAAGGTCTACCGGTTTCATGCTCAAGTGAAAGGTGAGGATGCTCACACTTGGGAGTGCTATGTTTCTATCGACGAATCTCCATTTGACCCTGTTAGCGTCAAATCCGTGCTTCCACGCATTTGAGCACTCCCACTGCTTTCGCACACTCAGTTTCGGTCACTATGGGTCTTTCCACTGAAACCCCCATAGCTGTTGTGACCTCACACACACTTAGACCCCCGATTCCTGGCACACGCCTTGGGGCCATAAGCTTGTCACTACTGTTGTTTCTCCTTGTTGTGACACCTGCGGTTGGGCAAGGGTTGCACTTTCCCTATCCTTGGGATTGAGCGGCTCTACAGCGATTCTAACGGTGCACCTGGTCTGGTCACTGTGAATGCTTGCCGACCGCAGGTACGTCAAGCCCCCTGCCATTCTGTCTTCTCTTTGCTCTCCTGTGTGCTCTGCTCTCTTGTGACTTTCCCTATCCTTGGGATTGAGCGGCTCTACAGCGATTCTAACGGTGCACCTGGTCTGGTCACTGTGAATGCTTGCCGACCGCAGCTGGTTCAATTGACCTCAAGACACCATCAACGCTTTCGCTCCGTCCCGACGGACGTCTCTCAAACCTCTCTCAAAACGCTTCCTCAAACCTACGCGCTTCCTCGCAACCCAAAACTGGCCTCCAGACGTGCTGGAGCCTGACAGACCCCTTACTCTTTGATGATTGCACCGTGCCCCAGTGAGAAACAGTTTGTCGCCACCAGCAGCAGCATGGAGGAAGGTACGCTGCTAAGATGAATTGGCTCCGCTGCAATGTTTTCAGTCAAAACAACATGTACATGTATACTTATGCTTCCTGATCAACGTGGTTTCACTGCGAAACACTCGTGTTTTCTGCAGGGAATGCAGGGCGAAACTTCCTACTCGCGGCAGTCAGCTGTGTGAACTCACTTTGCGACACGTCGATCGCTGTGTTGATTCACCCATTCAACTCGAACTTTGTGTTTAACCAACAACCTTGTGCACCCCCCGATCGTCGTCCACTGGCACACGGACGCAGTGTGTTTGCTTTGAGAATAGCGTTCCGTGACCACCCGCGTGTCTAACCTCGCTTTCAATTGATTGTATCAAATCACACGCCCATCGGCCTTCACTTGGACCCTGCATCGCCCTTGAGCCCAACGGCGCACAGTTGACCGCCACGGTACCGCCGCAGCGCGAGAGTACGCTGGGCCGTGAAAGATGAATGGTGTGCATTGTCATGACAGTCGAATTGTGGCCTCGGCAGACACCGCAAGACAAGCCGAAGAATTGGCGTTCATTTTTCAGAGTGGACATCCAGACGCAGAATCTATACCGTGTAGGACACGACCAGCTCAGGGAAGATTTGGGCATTGTCGACCATGATCACCTCGTGAAACTGCCCAGCCGGCGTCGCAATCACCGAGTCATATCTCAAGAAGAATGCACGTGTCACGAAGAGGACAGAATATCTGACAGGGTGGAAGCGCGACTGTGGCCCACGCACCGCTCGTTATTGGGCGCGTGGGGCAAAAGGGGCGCATTCAGGGCTTTGATATCGGGGGATTCATGGACACACGCACGTCCCAGTAACGCCCGCGTAATGATCAACGTTGAGGCTTTGCATATTGCTGATTCTATGAACATGGTGTGTATCCCTGAGAATTTGCTGTGGCAAGGTAAAGCATTTGCTAAACAACCGCCGACCTTGCCCGGGAGGTCAGCTTGATAGATGCCCCGTCCAAAGCGAGTACCGGTACTTTTTCCAGCAAAGCGATAGTCAAGGCCAGGCACACAATCTTATCACGCAGCTCGTGATCGGGGCGTATTCCTGGTGGGAAATAACATCCCAAGATACACACTTGCAGATCGAAAAGGAGAAAGTTCCTCTGCAAGCAACGCTGGATTACCACACCCGCCATTACTTTCGATACAACTCCGCGCCCATGACATATCGACGAGACGTAGGTCATGTAACATCACACCGTATCCCAACGTATCAGCAGACCACCGATATGAGTGGTATCCCCAGTGGGAAATAACATCCCAAGATGCACACATGCAGAACATGCAGATCGAAAAAGACCAATACCCTCTGCCAGCAGCGCGATACTCACCAACTGCCAGTGGATTCATTACACCCGACACTGGTACTAAGCACCACCGAGCTCAGAAAAAGAAGCCAGTTCCCACCAAAGTTTGAATACTAGGACAAAATTCAACCAACCCTCATGGCGAGCTGCAGGGACGGAGGGATTGATTGGCGCCGCTGCAGGGACGGAGGGATTGATTGGCCGTGGGCGCCCACAGATCAGTTGTGATGGCCTATCTTGATCGGGCCCCAAATCCGTTCCCTTGGCTGCGACAGTAGATAGGGACAGTGGGAATCTCGTTCATCCATTCATGCGCGTCACTAGTTCGATGACGAGTCATTGGCTACCTTAAGAGAGCCATCGTTACTCGCGCCGTTTACCCGCGCTTGGTTAAATTTCTTCACTTGGACATTCACAGTACTGGGCAGAAAGCACACTGCGTCAACACCATTTCCGGTCATCGCCATGCTTTGTTTGAATTAAACACTCTTGTCCGTACCAGTTCAAGATCGGTTGTTAAGCGCAGGCCGTGACTTGCAGCACCCGAGAGCAAAGCCCTCTGCCCCCGGTCCCAGCCAGGTCCGCCAGACTTTGACACCAATCACTGTGACTTCGGTCCAGCTCCTAACATGCGATACCCTCCAATTGTCGACCAAACCCCACCATAAGAAAAAATTATACAAGTCAAAGGTCAATCTTTTAGTGTGAAACAATACAGAAAATCATTTCACCACACCGTCTATCTATTGAGTGGGTCGCTGTCCGCCCCGTCCGCCCCGTCCGCGCTGTTGGGCTGTTGGCGTCTCGTGCCTGTCGCTATGTCTGACGCCGTCTTGTCTCTGTTTCTGTTCCCATCGCCATCCCATCGCCGCCTCAGGTGCCCGCCTTCGCCCGTGTCTCTTTCTGGCAACTCAACAGCTTGACGTGTGAATGAAAAATCTCACTCATTCGCGCACATTTTCTGTTTTTGGGCGGACTCGTCCAGTCTGGAGCCACCTTGGGGCATGATGCGCAACGTTGGCTGTGCCAGCCGCGGGCTGTGTGCGTTGGTGCTTGTTGTTCTATCTGTTTTGGTCATGGGCACCGAGCGACCGTCCATTACTGTGGATTCCGATGGAACCTTGTTAATCAATGCGACCAATCGTGTCATTGTAAACGGGGTGGATGTCATGGCGCACTCGACCGTCTTCAAGTTTCTCCTTCGCTCAAACCCGCAAATGGTGACCCCTCAACGTGTCATCTCAACGGATGCAGATGGCGCACAAGCAGTGTACGCAGCCGACCTGGATAATGATGGACTCATCGATGTGCTCAGCGCCAGCTACCGCGATAACAAAATTGCGTGGTACCGCAACACCGGCAATGGCAGCTTTTCTGACCAAATTGTCATTGGCATTGCCGACAACTACGCGCGGTCAATCCACGCTGCCGACTTTGACAAGGATGGATACGTGGACGTGCTCATTGCTGCGGCCTACCAGGACAACATTGCGTGGTATCGCAACAATGGCAATGGTACTTTTTCCAATCGACGCGTCATCTCCACCTCTGCCAATGGGGCGCGGCTAGTATATGCGGCTGATCTCGACAATGACGGCGACATGGATGTCCTCTGTGGCAGTGTTTACGACAACAAAGTTTCATGGTACCGCAACAATGGTGCCGGCGTCTTCTCCAACCAGCGCATTATTTCAAATACCTTGAGGGATGTACGCTCGGTATACGCAGCCGACCTTGACAAGGATGGTGACCTGGACGTCCTCAGCGCCAGCTCCCAAGATGACAAGATTGCATGGCATCGAAATGACGGCACTGGCACTTTTAGCGCGCCGATCATCATCAGCAACTCTGCAATTGGAGCACGCTCGGTACATGCAGCTGATCTAGATCAGGATGGGCACGTTGACGTCTTGAGTGCTGCCGCAGCTGACAATACGATTGCCTGGTATCGCAACAATGGCGATGCCACCTTCTCCGACCCGCGCATCCTTTCGACCAACGCAATGGGGGCGCGCGCGGTTTTTGCCGCTGATCTGGATCAAGACGGTTGGCTCGACGTCCTGAGTGCCAGCGAAGGGGACAATAAGATTGCCTGGCACCGTAACACGGGACAGGGCACTTTCTCAGCCCAGCTGATTATCAGTACGGCGGCACTCGATGCGCACTCGGTGTTTGCTGCCGATCTAAACCAGGACGGCAGTTTGGATGTCCTGAGTGCCAGTCTCGGCGATAACAAGGTGGCTTGGTATCCCCTCGATCCCCCACTACTCCGCGCTGTGGCTGAGACCATGGCGTAACTGCTTATCTACTTTACATGTTAGACGCTGGCGGGCACAGCCGCTGTGGTCGCATTGTGGCGACCGTGAACATTGAACATCGAGGCATGACATTAATGATGACGAGTAATTGAGACTTTTCGTCGCAGCAATGTAAGGTATCACGAAAGATGTTGCAGCGATTAAAGGAGTTTATGACGCTCTGCACATGCCGTAATCGAGCCATCTTCTAAAAATAGCATGAAACACCAAGTTTGGCCGTGAAAGATGAAAGAGAGAGAGAGAGAGAGAGAGAGAGAGAGAGAGAGAGTGTGTGTGTGTGTGAGCGCATAACGCATTTTTTTTTTCCTGACAGCGAGACTCGCGCTGGTGGTGCTGGGTGCGCTGGTGCAGGCATTGTAGCTTCTTTGTGAATTGGAAGGCGCATCGAGGTGGGCTTTTTCAATACTGGTGCCAACTGGTGGAGATCGGTTTGGTTTAGGTCAACCTATAGCTCGGCCGGAATCAAGGAGTGAGGCCTCGTCTGAACAACCGACGAAATGGCGGGATTGGCGCCCGTGATTCGCTTTTTCGAAGCGGACAAGCAGGTGCCGCTCGGCACCTCGGCAGATCAATGGGAGGAGGTCAGTTTGGTCTGTCTGTGTGGGTCTGAGGCCGACTTTGTAGCCAAGTTTCTCGTTTGCAGTGCACAGGTCATCGCATGTCCACAAACTCAGTTTACATGTGAATGCTGTCCTTGTTGTTGTTGTTGTCGCTGTCGCTGTTGTTGTTCTTGCTGCTGGGTCTGCATAGGTTTTACACGAGTTGATGGCGCAAGTCCCAGCTCCAGATGAATTGGCTCAGCGTTTTGCCGACCCGGATGACGCTGAATCTGATGACGTTCAAGCGTATCTGCAATGGTGTCGCCAGCAGCCCAACCTCAGTACGGATGACCATACTGGCCGCTCGCCGCCCACTTCGCTTGTCCCCTTCTGCCCTGCTCTGATCGACATGTTGAGGGACTGACACATTGGTTGGCACAGGTGTACAAACCTCAGTGGTGCCATCGGATGTCTTTGGCGCTTCGGCTGAACTTCATGATATCAAGGTCAAGCCTGTGCGAGGTTACGGCAGCGACGATCAGGTAAGGATAGCTCCCAGCAATTGGCGTTGACCGCTGTCACACCGCACCATTTCCGTGGTTGACGTGGCCTTGAATGTCCTGCATCTCATGCAATCAGGTGTATTTGGACTTTCCTGAAATTCGAGAGCGCGTGGCTCGCGGCAATACGATTCTGACGCGTCGACATCCCAAACGCTCCCATGCTCACTTTGTCGTGCAAGGCCTGCACAAGTTTACCGGGGCCAAGGGGCAGGATGATGATGACGTCATCGACAATGAAAAGCTCTCCTCCGTCGAGGCGGCGGCCGTCAATTGGCGTCGCTTTTTCATCGGGGAGGATGCCGCGAGCGCGCGTCACGTGATTTGCATGGACAAGGCCAACGGCGAAGCCGGCCACGTGGCTGTGGTGCGTACCCAGGACGCCTACGTCCTGCTCGCCGGCAGCAAGAATGTGCACCTGGCCTTTCGAGATGCTGCCGATCTGGCCGCCTATCGTCGCGAGCCCCGTTATCTGGTGGCTTCAGCCGTCGCCGATGCATTTCTGCGCCACTTGCAACAACTGACACCTGAGCGGCGAGGCGAGCTCTTGGCCTTTATGGCCTGGACGGGTCTGACCGCCTGCTTTGAGATTCTACAGCCTTCCTATCAGCACGTGGAGTTGCTGACCAATACCGAACCCGAGTTGCTCTTCCTGACCTTTGTCGAGCCCAGTCCAGCCCCAAAGACGACCTCCCTCTGTGGCCTACGCCCCGACGCCGCGCTGGAGTTGGCACGTTACTTTGGTCTCAAAGTGGTCAAGTACTCGGTCCATCCCATCTCCGACCTGGAGACTCAGCTCAACGCCATCACCCAGTGGCATGGCAAGGAAGGCGCCGTCCTCTACTATCTCAACGATGCCGGTGAAGTCTTGGGCCTGCTGAAGAAGAAATCCAACTGGTCGGTTGTCCTGCTGCACACGAGTGGCACGCACTGCATGTGATAACGTTTTCTGCCCAAGACGTTCCTGCCCTGTGATCGGCGCTCATGTTGGCGGTGCCTTGTTCTGGGTGTTTGCTGCTTAGGTACGTGATTCTTCGAGCATGTCGCGAGAAGCTACGAGCAGGGCTCGGAGCCTTTTGTAAAGAAGTCAAGTCCGGGCGAGAACCGGTAAGACCTCATCGGCCCCTTGTACGCCGGCCCAGTGGCCTGATCATTCTCACCCCCTTGCCTCACTTGGGTGTGCAGAATTATCACGCACAGGCCGAAAGGTTAAAGGCCCGGACGGTGCAACGCATGATGGCTCGCCTCAAGCAACTCAACGAGTGGCTCGTTATGACGCCTGAGGAGATGGCGGCATGGTCAAGCTTGCTCACCGATTTTATCACCCATGTCTTTGACCGCGCCGCTCAGGTCCAGGGCCGCGTCAATGCCTTTGTGGAGGAGGTCCGCTGCCAGTTTCCTCAAACCTGGCACTCTTTCGCCGGCCCTCGCGCCACAGCCTCACCTCTTGCACAAACGCCTTGAAGGGTGTTGATGGCGCTTGAATCTGACTTATTTTCTTTTCTTTTCAACCTTCAATAATTGACCGATCATGACTTGGCTCTTGAGTCTTGAATGTTTTTTTTTTTTTTTAAATATTGGCTGCTAACAAACACACAAGTGGAGACAGGCAAGATGAACACGCAAAAGAGGCACCTTGTCGCCGTAAGCCGCACTGTCATCAACCCTCAAATGCCATGCGTCCTCACATGCACAACAAGAGAAACAAAGACACGATGACAATAACATGGGAAACACGCAGAAAAATGAATTGCAGAGCCAGCTGCTGGTGTACCGGAACAAAAAAACACAAGGTTGACGGCGCCACCCGGCTAGGAGGATGCCACAGAGTGCAGTTTAAGGCCCGGTCGATTACGCGAAAGACCAACGCGGCGACGCGCCACCAGCGCACCTGTTTGTGGATTCCGCGATGACAAACCAAAGTGAGGCAGGTTGTGGCAGTTGAGGGGGAAAGAAGCAGAAGCAAAACATCAAAGAACAAACAAAGCAAACAAGGACATCAAAATCAAAGTACAGCGACGAACCGGTTGGCAGCTTGACACCACCCAGTTTGGGCGTTGTGCTCAATCCGCCCGTGGCCGGTCGGCGTGCTCCACCCAAGGGTCGACGCCTAGACCACAACAACGCAGGGTGAGGCCAACCGTAGATGGAGAACGAAAAAAAAAAAAAATACATCAAGGAGAAAGAGTCTGCCAAGGCTACGTACGTGGCCGTCGAGGCGGCTGGGCGCGTTGTGCCGGGCGAGTCGGCTGTGCTAGTGGCAGCTGGCGCAGGTGTCGGTGTGGAGGTCGTCTTTTTGGAGGCTGCAGTTGTTTTGGCCTTTGGTGCGGCTTTAGGGGCGGCCACAGGTTTTGCCGGGGCGGCAGCCTTGGCTTTCTTGGCTTTCGGGCTGGCCTTGGCTGCAGGTTTGGCTGCTGGTGTCGCTTTGCCCTTTTTCGTGTTTTTGGCTGGAGCCTAATGAGAAAGGGCAGACATGGCAGGGAGATTACGGGTGATCAAAGTATCAAAGAGACGTGGTGTAGCAAGATTGCTCAAATTGCGTGCGCATACCTTCTTGCCACCCTTCTTCTTGGGCGAGACGACAAAGTCCTCGTCCGCGTCCGAGTTGGCCTGTGGGCAAGCCGACGTGAGCTTCAAGGGTCAGTTGGCTCCACGGAGCGAGTGAGGGGCGACACAGAAAGCATCATACCGAATCCTCATCCTCGCTTTGGTCCTCCTCGTCCGGCTCGAAATCAGAGCCGCCAACATCTGAGAACAACCAGCAGCAACAGGTAGAGACCGTGTCAGATGACCTGCATGCTCGTTCTTGAATCTGTGGGTGACTTGAGACCAGCTTACCAAAATCATCGTCGTCATCGGCACCATCCTCCTCGTCGTCATCCTCGTCCACTTCGGCGTACGACTTGCGTTTGGCCGTGGCGCGGCGTCGGCCCGAGGCCCCTATCAGGATCGCTCAAACATGAGTCTGTGCCAGCCAATGGGCAAAGATGAGCCGGGTTGCATAACTTACGGCCGCTGGGTGGAGACAGAGCCTCCTCGGGGGTCAGCTAGATGTGCGTCGTTGAAGATGAACCAGCACCAACCCGATGGCATTTCCCACAAAGGATTGTTGACCCAGCAGCAACCAAGAAATGAGAGGAAGAAAAAGAGTATTGGAGCAATTGAGCCTTTGTGGTGAGCAGCATAGATGGGCAGACCTGAGCAGGTGTGGACGGGGCTTCACCCGCAGGCTCTGATTCGGCAGAGGCTGGATTAGCAGCTGCTGAGGCGGTCAAGTCATCCCCCTGTTGTCCTGGCCCCACATCCTGCATCGAGAGCTGCAGGGCACGCTCCAGATCGGATTGCTCGGCTTCGGCAAGGGCTTGATCCTTGTTGCCCCTGATATGTGCGTCAAGTAAGCAGCATGTAAGATTGTCGGCGACATGGGGTGCTTCACAGCCGCACCGCCGCCTCCTCACCGTCGCTTGTTTGATCGCTTGTTGTCACTGGCACCATCGTCCTTGAAATCCTCTACATTCACAGCTAAATGAGCCCAAAAGTCTGTCCCAGGGCACGGCGGTGATGCAGACGGGCGTGTGCTGGCGTTGACGCTGGTGCTCACCGTCGCTATCCATGGCCAGCGCGTCGACAAAGTCATCGTCATCATCGTCATCAGAGGCGTTTGCCTTCTTACCACTAATATTTGCGCAGCAAGCAAGTGAGTTGTTAATAACGACGCGCACATTCGTGGGTCAATGAGCACTGCGCCGGGTCTACTGCCTGTCAACGTCACTCGGACGTACCGCGACTTGCGAGGCATGGCGACTTTCAAGCCGAGCCTGACAGAACAAGAGTCGCTTCACAGCGGCAAGAAAAACCTCTGCTGCATCAACGCATGGAGCAAAATGAGTATGATTAAATCCAAGCCGCATACAGGTAACATCTCCTCGATATACCTCGATCCCACGTACCTCAACACGGCGCTGCCGTTCCAGCGCGCGCACGCAAAAACGAGAGAGAGAGAGAGAGAGAGAGAGAGAGAGAGAGAGAGAGAGAGAGAGAGAGAGAAATACCGTTTCAAGCTGTTGACCGTTGCGTCGTTGTCAGAAAAAAAAGCCAAAACGAGGAAAAAAAAAACGGTTTCAAACGGTCAACAAAGGCCAGTCTAATCCTGTTTTTGGAGTGTGTGGGCGGTCGGCGGCGATGAACTGCTTTGATGAGAGGCATTCATGCTGGCTTTTTCGGTGACGGGTGGCGAGGATGCTGGCGCCGTGGGCCTCTCGGGGTTGGTCGGTGAATTCAATTGTACAGCACACTTCTCGGCGCCACTGTAGAATAACATGCAATGAATTTCATTATAACAAGGATATCGCCTTAAGATGGGGATCGGGGGACTCGTCGCGTTCATCGCGTCACACAAAGCCAAAGCCCGATGAGGTAGAGACGGCCAGGGGGAGCTCGTAGTTCAACTTGCCCACGGTGGAACCGGTTTGCCAATCCATGATCGGCCCACCTGAGACAATCAGAGCCATTCACACATGGTGAAATGTGGGTCTCCTGTGAGCAAGGTCCAGCAGGCACGGGAAGCAAAGGAGACAAGGATCGCCAGCATTTGGGTGGACCGACCAACGACGGGCTCAGACAGGTGCTGGAAGCGAAGAATTAGAGCACCGCGGTCCTTTGACGAGGTGTTGGGGCGCGAGGCGTGCGGCGTACACGAGTGGTGCAGCTCAAGACCCCCGGGCGGTAAGATCACGGCCTCCTGCAGTAGGACAGGACCCCCTTTCCGTAAGATGCTTTCGGAACAGACAAAAGCACTGCATGGTAGCTCACAAGGCAGGAAATTGATACCTGGCTCCGCTCGAAGCGGCGAAAAGAGATGCCGGGTTCCATCTGAAACAAGTGGTGCTGGATCCACACGGACAGGGCGCCGGCAAAGGTGAGTTGACGTTGTCAGCGCGCCTTCTCGTGGATCATCCAGGGTGCACGCACTTTGTGAAAAAATTGGGCCTGCTCGACATCTTCCTCTGTCTCCACCCGGCGGAAGCGAGCCCGCCCCTTGGTGTGCCAGCCGGGCACGACGCGTAGGCCGCCACTGTCTAGTCCAATGTCGTCCTGTACATGCACCGGCAATGAGAACCTTCAAATAATATTTTTTTGTGTTCCTTTGCTCGCCCGAGCAAACTCGTGTCGACTGGTCATGGACACACCAGAGCAATCCACACGGTGATGCTGCGCTCGCCATCTTGATGCCTGACAAAAGGAAAGCCCATGTGAGCCAAAGCACGTGCACAGGTTGGGACCTGCTCCTCCCTTTCCACCCGATCTAAAAGTGCGTACGTACCATGGCACTTCACGCCCGCCGTGGGCCGGCTTGAAGGCGTATTGGGTGGAGAACAGGACAACAGGTTCCGACGTATCCTGTTGATTGGACGATTGAGCCGAGTATGTGGACACACACTGGGTACCTGGGCGCACCACGTACCAGCGCTTCCTGCACCAGCCAAACTAGAGCGGGATGAGAGGCCACAGACCAGATGGCCTCTTTCAGCGGCGCACTGCCAAGCTGGTGTGGAGACATGAGCCATTCTGGGTGCAAGGCTCCTGCCTGTTCAGAATCCAGAGGCAGACTTGAGTTGGAGCAGTCCATCAGCCAAGCCCAGACATGCGTGCACATGGCGCTCAAGTGTCGTACCTTGACGGCAGAGCTGGATAAAATGTCTTGCAAACCTGCACGGCAGGTGGCCAGGGCCTTGGCAGTCAAAGCTACAGGCTTACAAAGCGTTCTATCCAGTGTTCACCATGATAAATCGGCGGGCCGGCGTATCGAGCTGCTCAGATGGTTCAGAAGCAAGCAGCCGCGTCCCTGCACGTACCCGTGCCGCCGCAACGCAAAGGCATCCTCGATCCCAATCTCAAACGCCTCAACCAAGCCACTTTCTGCCACAGGCACGGGTGCTGGCACCAAAATTCCCTGCTGGCGCGCTGCGCCCGCCGTGTACATCATCGTGCTGATTTTTTTTAAAAAATAGAGAAAACAAGAGAAAAAAACAGAAAAAAACAGAAAAAAACAGAAAAAAAGAAAAACAAAAACGAAAAGCACGTCTCTGATTTCATCTCCGATCTTTCTGGCGCCCATGGCCTTGTGTGTAGTATGGCTACTTTCCTCATGAGCCAGAGGCAGCATTGGTGGACGGCAAGGGGTGGGGCGTCTCAAGAAAATATGTGCATCGACAGACGGCATTCGGAAATCGACAGACGGCATTCGGAAAACTACACACCAGATTCCCCAGCGAGCGCGTCCAGATGGGGTGGAATGCTTACAGGCCGGCGATATCTCTTGGTCAGGACACAGGGATACCATGACGTGCCAGTGGAACAAAAACACGAGAAATTTGATTGAAATACTCAACTGTTCAAGTGCAGCACGAGCACTTCCGGCATCGAGGAACAGGGAAAAAAAAAGTGGAGGCTGGAAAGACAAGGAAAAACAGATCAGGGAGCTGGAACAATCCTACTTTACTTGGCCGACTGAGGGATGACAAGAACATATGAGCACCTGGGCATGACAGGATATGATGGAGGGAGGTAGGTGGCCAAGGCAGGGCGGCAACTCACCACCTTGCCGGTATGTTGAGGCTTGCCAAATGAGAAGGGAATGTACTTGTACTTGATCATGTGCTAAGAGATTCCAAAGCGACAGGGAGCACGCCCCCCCCCCCCCCCCCCCAAAAAAAAAAAAAAAAGGGGGCCAGCGCATGTGTAGCAACGAGAGGACCGAAAACAAAGAAGAGCAGAGGAAACACGGCAGAGCACACAGTGTGCTGGATCGTGCCACGTTGTCCGGGTTGACGTACCGCAATCTGTTTCTTCATGGAGATGAAGAAGAGAATGAAAAAGTACATGACGAGGATGGGCCAGAACACGGGAACATCAAAGGCCTTGAAAAAGGTGGCGACAAATGCCAGCAGAATTGCTCGTGTACCCGACAGCCTGCACAGAGCATCAACAGGACAGCCCGCAATGAGTCGGATGGGTCAAAGCCTCCGAACCGCCCTCTTTTTTTTCCTTGAGTGGGTGGCGGTGCGCACCAGAACTTGAATTCGGGGAGCCGGCGCATAAACGGACGAAACTCCTCGTCCTGCTTCATGGGCAGTGCCTCGCCCTGTCCCTCGCCCTCTACAGTCGACGGACAGATCAGACCGGGAAGCATAGCCATGTGCATCGACGAAAGTGAGATCCCTGGTGGTAGAGCGGCCGTCTGCCTCGGCACCACGTACCATCGTCAGTGTCGGCCACCACCGGCTCGAATTTCGGGGTCAAGAAGGCAATGAAGAGATTCAGCAGGTAAATGCCAAGGGCATACGCCACAATGTACCAGCCCTGCATTGAAGGCATTCACGTGACATGGCAGTGTTGAGGTCATGAGGCCATGAGTTGTCTTGCCAGCGATGCAGGGGACGGAGGTCAGGGGCTAATGGGGGCCGGCCATTCAAACCTGCAGAAAGACGATGCGGAGGCCAAAAAGAACAAAGAGGACACAAGTGGCCACCCATCGCGGGGTAACATGGGGCGTGCTCAAGTCCAGGAATTGTTGATGGCGCTACAAAGAGGAAGAGGAAGAGCGGAGCACGGAGACAGCGAGCGAGCGACGGAGCGAGGAGCAAGCCGATGAGTCGAGCGACTGGGCGAGGTGACATGGTCAATTCCAACTGTTGCTTGTGAACATTGCCCAACTCAAGCCACAAGGCGTGTGCCACCCCCGGAGCGATCTCCACCCCACACGCCATCACCTACGTTACTAATCGTATTGATGAGCTTGGTGGCAAAGCTCGGGGCCTTGTCCCCGGCGGCTGCCGTCGCATCGGTACTGCTGCTGGTGGGCATCATCTCGTCAGTTGTTGAATGAGTGAGAGAGAGAGAGAGAGAGAGAGAGAGAGAGAGAGAGAGAGAGAAGAGAGAGAGAGAGAGAGAGAGAGAGAGAGAGAGAGAGAGAGAGAGAGAGAGAGAGAGAGAGAGAGAGAGAGAGAGAGACACACACACGTCGGTTTCAGAGAGTTAGTCTGGGTTTGAGATGAAGCTGTAGCTGAAATAAAAGCCAAACCAGAGGTATGACTTGGTTCTGAACTTGTATGAGAGGGATCAAGGCCAAGCACTGACTGACGTGTGACTGTGTGTGTGTGTGTGGTGTGTGTGCCACGTTCAAATCAAACAAAAGAAACCGAAAAGGTTGAGGTATTGTCACTTGTTTCGTCTCCTGGATATTTCCGATCGATTGTTTTTAAAAGTCGGCCCACTCCTTGAGGAAGATGCAGCGTTGTGGAGCTACGAGCCCGCGCGGCGAGCAGTTGTGCTTGACCTACATGAAACACGTGATCCACCGCCATTGTCGGTTTGGTCATCAAACATAAAAGCATAATGTGAGACAGAGGCAGATCAATACAGCCAGCCGAAACCATGAACGAGGAGGGGCTAAGAGCAAAATGCAAAACGGTTTTGGTGTGCGCCGTTCACACACCTTGCAGTGACCACAAGGGGCAGTATGAACGGCCGATCGTGGCAGTGGAATTTTGGTAAGGCGATAGGCCCGTCGCCCCGCGCGTGTCCCACGAATGGCCATGCGATCATAGACCAACGTCTCCAAAAGCTACGAACAGCAGTGGAGCATGGCACGTTCAGACAATTTGAGATGGATGAGCCACCAAGCCGCGCGGAAAAGAATTTCAGCTGTGTTCCCTGACAACTCTGCTTTGGCCCACTGTTTCGCACCTTTTCCATGTCACCGACGCTGAGGTCTTGCTGGGCAATTTTGCTGTTGGCGATGAAATCAAGAATCTCTTGCGCCGTCAACCATGAGGATTGGTACTTGTGTAGCGGGCTATCGTAGGGTCGGTTAAGGCGCTCCTGAAGTTGCTTGATGCCTGGTACAAGCCCATCAACAACCGAATGCCCAGTCGTGAGGCAACCACTTGGCGGGACAGCACGGGCTTGGGGTGGGCGAGCGCCACGGGGCCAAACAAACAAACAAACAAACAAACGTACAAATGCGACGCATAATGTCGACAAACTGTCCATCGAAATCCTGGCCAGCATACCAAGGCCCGCCCGAGTGCTCCGTGTCCACTTCCAGCTCGGCCAGAATGTAGAGACGCTTCTTGCCACTCTGCGACCCGATCATTTATCAATGTTAATGGTTCAGGGAAACAAAAACAAAATAGGCATGCCGCAAAGGGAACAACAAAGGCTCCTGCCTACCTTGATGGAGCTGGCTTCCTTGATGTACTTTTCAGATTTGAGACGCTTGATAATTTTATTAATGGTCCGGGGATCCAGGTGACTCTTCGGCTTGAGGTCCTGGTGAAATACACCTAGCGCAGGCGAAATCGCAAGAGACGAAAAAGCCCGTCGATCAGTCGGGACTACGAGTTGCTCAAAGACCACGCAGTGCAAGGGTAGCTGCGGTTGCACCCACCCTTGGTGCCGGCATCTTCGATAATGCCGTAGATGAGCTGTTCTTGGGTGCTGAGCTTTGAGAGTCTGGTAGGCGCAACGGGATGGTTGTGCATGAGGGCTACAGACCAGACCATACAGGGATTCGAGGCAAAGCAAAATGTGTGGGGGGGATCACGGCCAGACAAAAGGAGACATGCGGCCAAACATACTTCATGGAGCGTTCATCGCCAGCAGCCAGGGAGACACCGCCCGCGTCTTGATGAACCACAATTTGACCCTGAACAGAATGGGCCAACAGAAAAAGGCGAGCGTGAGCCACAGGAGCACTGCTAGATCCAGTGCGGTGGTGGTAGCGTGCAAGATGAGCATGGACGAACCGTGCCCAAGAGAGGCTGAACGTGCTGCAAGACTTCTTCCATAGTCATGTCGAGTCCGGACGTGACCTCGTGGTCACGGAGAGGCTGCCGTCAACACGAACAAGCAGATGAGGAGAAAGAGAGAGAGAAAGAAAGAGAGAGAGAGAGAGAGAGAGAGAGTTGCCCCTTGGCGCCAACACAACCTGCACTGCACTGCACTGCACTGCACTGCGTGAAGGACAAGTCGTCTACCTTGTTGGCGGCTGTGAGAAGGTCAATGAGACGTTGTTGCCCGGTTCGGGCTTGATGGTGGTGTCGGCCGCGGCCATCTTGACGCGCTTGGCGCCATGTTCTTCGCCCTCGACACCTGCCTGGCCATTTGTCACAGCCATCTCACCGGCAGCCGCCACGCTCACGGCCACCGATGCCCGCTTGGCCATGCTCCTTGCTGCTCTTCCAAGCGCGCATCGACACCCAAACGACCGCACACACACACACACACACTCGTGAAAAAAAAGAGAGAGAGAGAGAGAGACGGGAGAGAGAAATTTAACTTTAAAGAGAGCGCGTGAGCGTGAAAAGGAGGACGAGAGACAGATTAATTTACTTTAGAGAACATAGAGAGAGACAGAGAAGAGCAAAGAGAGAGAGAGAGAGAGAGAGAGAGAGAGAGAGAGACAAAAGGCATAACCACATGGAAACACACACACACACACACACAACACACACACACATTCATTTCACGATTGGGGGCCTTCAAGCAGGTTGCAAACCAGCACGAGTCAATCGGCACCAAAGTCGGCATCTGTGTGATCGAGCCGTGTCTAGGGGAGAGGAGAGCGTTGTGGGGTCGGCTGTCGTGCGGGGTCCTCGTGTTGGGTGGGTGACGGGCCGAGAATCATGTTTGAGGTGTCGGTGGGAGCGCTGAGTGCGCTTTGGGTGCCATGGGTGCAGGAACAGCTGCGGCAGCGACCTCAGCTGCGATATGGTGTGGCCACCTTGATTTTGGGCCGCTTCACCTACCTGTTGGCTCAGGAACGGGTCTTGGATGCCGGTTTCTGGGGCGTCTTGACGCTGCCAGCCCTCACCCAGCTGCGCGGCACGCTGCTTGCGCCCGAACTGGTGCGCCTCGAGACCGCCACGCCAGACTCGGACGCCGATGTGGCGCTGAATATCTGCCCCACGCCAATTGATGAGCTGGTCCTGGGTGCTCATTGCGGCATGCTGGGAGCTCTTTTGGGCTTGCGACTGCCCTACGCCCACTGGCCTGCGTGGTATCAGGGCTTGCATGCGCCCGTTGTGACGACCCTCTTGTGCATTCCGGCCGTCCAGGCCGTGGCCATGACCGAGCAGACGCCCTGGGCTCCCCTCGCCCTGGCGAGTGGCCTGTGCGCCCACCTCGGCCTCTTGATCGGCGCCGAGGCGCCCTTGTCCTCCATCTTCGGAGCCATCGTCTACAGTCTGCCCCTGACCATCAACGGCTATCGCGCGCTGGGCGGCGGTCCCGACCAGGATGATGATCCATCCGCGGCCTTTGTGCCCGAAGTTGACAAAGAGGATCGCTACTACAAGCTCGGCATGGCCCAATTCACGTGCAGCACCTTTGCTTGGGGCCTCTACATGCGTCAGACGGACGCCCCAGTCCTGCCCACGGCCCGCGCCGTTCGCACCGCCCGCTATGTCACTGCCTCCTCTGCCTAACATGCAAAGCCTCAAGGAGGGAAGGAGAGATTTTGTGGCTTGCAGCTCTCTTGTGTTTGCTTTTGTCAGATTGTCATCATATCCTGTAAATTAAACTCTTTATCCCTGGACGTGTCATCCTCCCTGTCCGCTCCTGCGTACATGCATGCATGGTCGAGTCAGCAACAGGCACGGCCTCTCGTTGAGCTCAACGATGAAAAACAGCAAGAGCCAGTCAGACATACCAACGCTTGCCATCGGGCGCAACCAGGTATTTTGCATCTTGAATCCCAATCCAGAACTTTCATGTGGAAAGTCGTTGCCGCCGGCCTTTGCCAGCCAGCATCTTGTGGCGCTTCGTTGGCGTCAAACAGCAACCACGAGGGCGCCGAAACAATGGCCATGCGGTTGGCAACGTTGGCCGTCGTCCTCTTGGCAGTGCTCCTGACACGCGTGGGTGAGGCCAGCCCGATTGGTTCATGCGCGGCACCCGCCACGCACAAGGGCACGCATTGTGTTTGTCCGACCGATCAGGCCTGCTTTGGCGGCGCCTGCGAGCAAGGGCAAGGCACCGGCATCGAGCTGGTCCACGGCTACCGCCCCACCTGCGAAGACTGCTACTGCGCGCCCTCGACCAAAGGTGAGTTCGCCACACCGAGGGTTTGTCGACCCCAACAAAGGCGTGGTTGCTCGCTCCAACAGCAACAGGACGAGAACAGTTGAACAGCGAGCTTGCCGCGATTGGCTTTCGATGGCACGCTCCTGACTGCAATGTCTGGATCCGTGCGTCGGTAGGCGATGCAGTAGGGGCAAAAGCGGATGGCATCAGCACCAAGACGGCAACGGGCCCCATGGCCAATTTCTACTTTCTCAAGCTGCACAAAGTTGGGTCGACCACCGTCAGCATTGTGCTCGAGCGCCTCGGCGAGCACTACAATCGCAAGCTCTGTCTACGTGGCGACGCCTTTGAAGGCTCACTTCCTTGTCAAGTAAGCGCCCACTCCCACCGAGTCGGTTCTCTGCGCGCCTCTTTTGGACTGCTGGCCCGCTACGCAGGAGGGCCTGACGTTGGTTGGCGCTCAGGTGTGGACCACGCACGACGTGGAAACATACATGCTGGCTGGTGGGATGCCTGCACTCACTTCCATCATGGGCGAGGATGCCGTCTCCATCATTGTGCTGCGCGACCCGACTGAGCGGTGGGTTCTGGGACGTTGTTATTGCAACTGCATGATCTACCCGGCCAAAATTCCACATGCCGCTGCGCTTGGTCCCGCAATCATCAACGTGTGCGCAAACCGGGTTCGACACGCCGCCTTGAATTTTATTCACTTTTTTTTTTTTTTTTTTTTTTATTCTTCCCCACGGCAGACTCTTGAGCCGATATTTTTATGATATTGCGCGAGGGGCGATGGTCACCCAGTCAACAAAACCGACGGCTCACGACTTTCGCGACTATCTTGCGGAAAATGATATTGAGACGGTGCGTCATGCGGCCTCTGACTTGACTCAGAGTCTGAAACGCACGGCCCCGCGAACTTTCCTCATGAAAGCCAGCCACCCTGCGACTTTAGATTCACTATCTCAATGCCCTGGATTCAACCAAGCACCAAACCTCGGCCGCCATGCACACGCTGGGCCAATTTGATGTGGTGGGCATCACCGAGGATTTGGATCGCTTCCTGGTGGTCCTGGCACACAAGCTCAACGTTCGGCTTGAAGACGTCACCTACAAGAGCGAAAAGGTACGCTCGCGACGCCATTTTGTTTGTGCTTTGCCTCTGACGTCGAGCTTCTCAGCGTGTGCCATGTGTGTTGCCAGGTGGTGGTAGGCCGCCCCAAGTTTGCGGATCTGGACGCCGAGACACAAGAACTGTTGCTGGCAGCCACCCAGGATGATCGTCTCATCTACGCGCATGCCAAGACGCTGGCCCTAGCGCAGCAACACGAGGTACGATGGCACGCACATTGTCTTGAACATATGGCTCAACGGCTCTCATCCAAACGCGACTGTCGATCGGCTCACCCAGGTGCCAGACTTTGAAGCCAAGCTGGCTCGCTTCCGCGCACTCGAGAGCAAGATTGACCAGGGCTGCACGTTCTCCGACACCCAGAGCCAGGTCCTAACGGGCCAGGACTGCTACAAGTTTCAGCAGTAGTCGCCCTTACCGCACGTATGGGCTCTGGTTGTATTCGCATTTATACCGGTTAATGTAGACTTCAAGCCATTCACAATTGTATTTTATGTAGCAGATTTGATACATCATGCTGATATAGCGCACACCATTGTTCCAGGCTTGTTTCAACTTGTCCGGCCAAAGTTGGCCTCATTATTGACACACTATTTTTAACCATATCACTCGTCTATTTCCGGATGATGTGGGCGAAATTTTGCTCGCCATGATTTTGAGATGTTTTTTATTTTTTATTTTTCGCTGTCTCCGTGCAGTGGTACGGCCGGTCCAGGGCGTAGAAAGAAGCGTGTCACGGAAGCGCGTCGCGTGGAGGGCAGGTTGTTCAAGAGCATGACCAGCCTGAAAGACATTGGGACAGGGGCTGGATGGCAAGCAGAAGGAGAGGAAGACGGGTGTAAACACAACGTGCCGCAGTAGCGGCAGAGACTATTGTTTCGACTTCTCGCTCACCTCGGGTTGAGTGGCTGGCGCACTCAGGTTTGGAGCGCCCTGCAGCCATGCCTCCTCGCCGTTCGACTCGCGCTGCCGCCAAGCGGACGGCAGCTCAAGCGGTATGGCGCCCTTTTTTCTTTTTCTTTTTTTTTTCTTTTTTTTTTTTGGCGTTGGACCGTCCCTTGCTTTTGGGGGTGCACTGAATGTGACGCAGGAGCGCTCGCTCACAATCGTATTCAATCGTGTTTTCATGTGACACCCAGGATCCTGCGCCGGCCGCTGCTGAACCCGCTGCACCCACTGCAGCTGCAGCAGCTCCAGAGGCCAAGACCACCAAGGTGTGGTCACGAAGTTTTGAAATGCCGGATGCTCGCTGCCCCACATGGTTGATGACGGTTTTGCCTGCACTCTGGCCCAGGTGCAACTCAAGGCCGGAGCCAATGTGCCGGTGATTGAGACCTTTCCCTCGGCCAGTTCCTATCACGTCTACTCGG